GGGCACAACATGCACACGGCACAGACACACACGAAGTCAACAACATAACTGCAAAGCTCACACGTAGAGCGCAAGAAAGCGATTGCCCGTACCCGCGATGATGAAATTGTTGGTGGGGAGCGAGTAGGGGCCAGCGAAGACGCCGATGAACACCTCCTGCGACACGAAGGGCTGGGTGGTGGCGATGTAGCTGATCGAGTGGATGGCCTGACCCATCCGGGTGTCCGACTTGTCGTAGTCGCGGAGCGTCGGCCAGCCGTCCAGACTGGTGTCGCCCATTGATGCGGCGCCGCACGTTATTGGTGGTTAGACGCCGAGCTAAACACACACTGTGCGACACACGCGCGTCGCTTACCTGGCGTAGAGCCATAGATCGCCGTCCACGTAGGACTCGAATGTGGCCAAGTGAGCCTGCAGCGATGTGTGTGTGTGTGTTTGTGTGTTTGTGTGTCTGCGTCAGAAATGGAGTCTCTCCCGGTGCGTCTCTGAAGGGCGCCCTACCTGGATGGAGTGCGTTCCGGTGTTGCCCGGTGTCTTGAGGTGGAAGTAGGCCCACCCGTTGAAGGCGATGCTGCCGTTCACGGCCACACCGCGCCCCAGCTCCGTCGAGGCTACACCACCACGAGGCGAGTGAGCCAACACACACGAATCGCACAAGCTCGACCGCACACGACACGGCACATGCGGCAGGGGGACACGCACGGATGTCACAGAGGGCACCGGCGTAGTAGTCGCGGCAGACGCAAGTGCCGTCGCTGTTGGGCGTTCCGTGCTCGCCGCAGCGGCTATTGTTCTTGTTTACCTCGGTCACGATCAGACTGTAATTACACGAACTGTAGCCGTACACTCCCTGCGTTCGCGCATTGTGTGCGCCATTAGGTGCGTGTGCGGTGGTGCGATGTGCGGTCGTGTACGCGTGTGCGCCGTGTGCGACCTAATAGTTGGGGGGGAGGCGTGGTCGTACGATGTACCACGGCTGTCCCTCGAGGGCCGCCGATGGGATGACAAGCGTGGTCTCTCCGCTGGGGCCGCTCACATCGAGGTAGTCAAAGTCGACACGGGTCGGGTACGCTCCGCCTTTCACGTACAGGTCACAGTCTCCGCCGCTCTGCGACACCCGGCCTTGCCTGGTGAGCCTTTCGCGCGCGTGTCGTGTGTCGTGTGCGTGCGATGTGTGCGTACAGAGGTGGTATCGGTGAGCTGCACGCGCAGCTCGTGCTGGCCGGAGCTGCCGCCCACGGCGTAATAGTTCCACACGTTGTCGGCCACCAGGCCCGACACCGAGCTGCCCAAGTTCAACGGCGTACGCTCTGATGTCGGCATAGTGCATTGAATCGGGAGAGTGAGGACTCTCTGCGAGAAAGGCGCTGAATGCGGGTTTGATGGGGTGCGGCGCACTGTATTCGCAGTTGGAGCCGCGGTAGTCGGAGTAGCATCGGCACACCTGGCCCGAGCAGGTGCCGTGCAACGAACACCTGGTGGTCGTCGCGCAGTCGTTACCCTCGCCTGTGTGCGCAGACCACAGATGAGCGTGATGATGGTGGTGGTGGTGGAAAGCAGCAGGTGGAGGGATTGAAGACGGTACTGATGGCCTGCGCGGCGAGCTTGAACGATGTGGTGGAGAACCCGAACACGCCCACATAGACGGGCGGCACCGAGTTGGTCGGGTTGTACTGTGACATGCCGTCGTGTTCAGTGAAAGTGAGACCTATGTAGAGGAATAGGAGGAGGACTGACTGGGCACAGATTGGCAGCTTACCGCAAAGTTGACGGTGGACACCGGGAGGATGGAGGTGTTCTTCGCCACGTAGCTGGTGATGTTGGGGAAGTGGCCCACCTGCGCGTGTGTTATTCTCGATTAAAGTTGACCCTCTTCAGGGCGTGTGTGCAGCAAGCGCGTTGTGCGATTCGAAAGTGGCGCGGTTTGCACACTCACCTGGAGGTACAGGTCGGCGTCACCGGTCGTGGTCTGGGTGAGGGTGAGGTGCAGCAGCGTGTTGGGACGCAGGTTCTGCAGCTCGTAGTACCGCCACGCTGCACACAAATCGAAGTCAACCAAAGGAATTCGCAATAAAACTAAAACTATAGTGACCGAACGGCCTTAGAGGCCAGAGAGGTGGTTGTGGATTATTGTGATTGTCAGGCGAACGCACCGGCCCTCTGGACGGTAACGACCGCGCTTTCGGAGTTGATCGGGAGAGGAATGGGCTTCACTGTGTGCGGCCCGTGCGTGCGCAGCAAGGTCAGCGCGAGGAGGCCCCGACGACTACACGCTGCCATCACTGGGGGGAGGGAGAGGATGCGTACGCTGGGCGCAGTCATTTCCGGTGTAGCCAGAGTCACACGAGCACACGCCATTCACGCACACGCCGTTGCCCGAGCAGTTACGCGGGCACTCGCCTGCGCCCGCCCCCAATCACACACAGGTGAGATGACGCGAACTTGAAGTGTGTGTCGTGTGTCGTGTGTGTCGTGTGTGTCGTGTGCGTCGTGTCCTACGTACCGTAGACATGGGCGGTGAGCTGATAGCTGCACGCGGCGAAGCCGTAGATGCCGATGTACCACTTGCCGGGGGTGGCATCAGGAGTGATAATCGTCGCGTTGGGCTTGGTCGAAACCTCGCGTTGCAACCAGCTGACGAGGGACGTCAACGTCAGTCTACACCGCACACGCACACACCATACGATCGGACACGCACACACGCACACATGCATCACCGCACACGCGCGCAACGAACGCAAAAGCAAGGGAGATCAACCTTTTGTGGGTGGGGTAGGCATTCTTCTGGATGTAGAAATCGCAGTCGCCGCCCACTTGCTGCAGAGCCAGATCAAAGAGAAGAAGGTAAATGCGTGTCGTGTCGTGTCGTGTTTTGTAATGTGCGTCGTGCGTGTGTCATGATGAGTGTTGGGTGCCGTGTTGTGCCGTCATCAGTTCATTGAAAAGGGGGAGGCCATGGTTAGGGTTACCTGGAGCACGTTCCACGAGACGTAGGAGTGCTGCGAGAGCTGCAAGTGGGCAAACGCCCACGCGTTGACCGCCACCGTGCCGCTCGTGGACTGCCCCGAAGTGATTGCCACGTCCTCTGCAACATGTTTTTCCGGGGCAGCGCCAACCATGGATGAGTGTTTGATGGAAGTGGGATGAGATGAAGATGATAAAGTGCGCATACAACGAAGCCAAGCCATTGGGGGGCCAACAAGGCCGGTTTGATGACTGGAAAATAAAAAATCTTACGGAGGGGGGGGGCAAGAACGAAGCGAAAGGGAAAAAAGGGGAGCGAACGGTAGGAGCAATCGACGCCGGCCCAGTTGGGGTAGCACTGGCAGACGCTCCGGTTGATGCACACGCCGCGTCCGCTGCAGTTGTTGGGACAGCCGCTGGCCCACGCCGCCACAGCGAGCGTCAAAAAACAAAGCGCCACGAGAAGGGCGGCTGACCTCCTCGTCGAGGCCTGCATCTTCATCTTCATCTTCATCAACCTCAAACCCAAAAGAGAAAGGAGAAAGAAAAAGAAGACAATTTAAAATCAGCCAACCCGCGTCGTCACAATTCTTACGGGGTTATTTAATTGCAGGGAAATTGTCAAAGAAAACAAGGAAGAAAATCCACTTTTGCTGAAGCCAACATGACGCACCAGACCCACGCGATAAGCTGGAGCCGGTACCTGGCCCTCGCGGAGATGGGCGAGGTGCACCCCCGAACCGACCAAATGCGCGACCGCATACAAAAGGAGGTGGCCTTCCTGGCCGAGCAGCTCCTGCGCGCGCTCGAGGAGTTCGCCCGGCCGCACGCGCAGCGCATACGCGAAGCCCGGCCCCGCGCCCAGCCGGCCCGACCTGCCCCTCCTGGCCTTCGAGCGCACCCTGTCCCACGACGCCGCCCGCGAGCGGGTCATGGCCGCCACCAAGCTTGCGCTCGACGCCGCCGACTACCCATTCCTCCGGGCCGTGGTGCTGGCCAACCACGACGAGCCTAGCCGCATGTACTCGGGCACCAACAGCAGCCAATGGAACAACGGCATCGGCTGCGTCTTCCTTGATCTGGTCCGGCCCTACGTGGCGTGGAACCTGGTGCACCTCCGGGGCCTGGCCGCGCCCACCGACGCGGGCTACGCGGGCGCCCAACTGCCGACGCACGACAGCGACGAGCACCTGACGCCGCTGTGGGAACGGCTGGGGCCGCTGCTGCGGCGCGGCCGTGAGGTCCCCGGCTGGCCCGATTGCACGGACGGCGAGGCCGTGCGGGCCTGCAGCAAGGACCTGTTCCGGAGCATGTACATGGCCGCGGCGTTCCTGATGAGCGGCGACGAGGCCGACTGGGCGCTGTGCCGCAAGTACCTGGCGTGCGACATCCGGACCGAGATCGGCTGCGTCGTGCTGCCGGGGGTGTCCAGGTCGCTCTACCAGCGCGACGAAGAACTGGCCGGCCTGCCCTATGTGTGACGAACGAAACCCACGCGATGATCACAAAAAAAAAGAAGAAGACTGCTTCTCTTTTCTTTTTCTTTGTGTCTTGTTCTTCAGTTCAACTTGCCGGGCATGAACGACGCAGGCACCATCCGCGCGATCTTGGCTCTGTCACACGAACATGAATGGAAAACCATTTAGAACAAAGTTTTGTTTTTTGTTTGGTTTTTGTTTTTTATCCATAAAAATGATAATGTCAAGTGGAGGCAGCGGTACCGCTTGATGGGGGTGACGGTGACGATGTTGCCGTTGGGCTTGTCGCGCCAGCTGTCGAAGAGGCTCTTGAAGTCGACGGTCGGGCCGTTGAGCTCGGGCATGGGCGGGGCCTCGGCCTCCTCGGCCTTGGTGAACTCGCCGCCGGGCAGCTTCTGCAGGCCCACGAAGCACGTGCCCAGGAATGGGAAATTGCTGCGGAGCTCGAGCGTCTCCCGCGTCTGCTTGGCCTGCAGCTGTTGCTTGCCTGTCGTGTGTTGACCATCCAGTGATTACTGTAAGTCTACGCTAAAACCGCACACACCGCACACACCTTTTCCCTTTCCCTTGTCCTTTTCCTCCTTTTCGATGACCTCGTGCAGGTTGACGAAGGTGCCGGGGAAGGGCCGAGCGTAGGTCTGCGGGTTCTTCTCCAGGTCGAAGATGAGCGCGATTAGCCGACTCTCCAGCCAGCCCAGACTGAGAGAAAAGTTAGTTGGCCTACTTTCTCGCAAGCGAAGAGCGAAGAACAAAAAGTTGAGGATCAGTGAGGATAGGGCGTACCACTTGGTGACCTCGTCGCTGCTGAGCGAGTGGACCTCGACCATGAGGTAGTAGTGGTAGTCCTTGAAGAAGTTGGTGGGCTGCAGCAGGTCGTTCAGCCCGGCCTCGGAGTTCCACTGCGAGGCTTGCGTGATGTCAAACGCTCTCTGCGTACAAGTGACACCAACATGAGGAAGAAACGAATGGTGAGCGCGACTGCATGCGTGTCGTTGTATGATATGTGTTGTGAGTACATACAAAGAACTCCTGCTGCATCTCGGTGAGCGTTGATCGAGCCACATTGCGTGCGGAGTTGTTGAACGGCGGCGTGGGCGTGACAATCGGCATCTTGTCGCTCTGCGTGGTAAGAAATGAACATTAACAAACATGTCCAGCGCGACATGTGAGCGCGTCTGAGTTAAAAAAAATGAAGACTGTGTGCACCTTGTGGCCGGGCTTGTATCGGGCGGAGCCGGGGGTGATGGCGACGGGCTGCTGCCAGTCCCAGTGGTTGTAGACCTCGAAGAACTCGGCGAGCAGGCGCTCCTCGATCGAGAGGTCACCATCGCCGGACGCCGCGGCGGCCGACTTGGCGTAGAGCTTGGAGTTCTTGCAGACGTAGGCCACCAGCACGGACCACGAGAAGCCGCCCAGGAACCCGACAGCATTCGAATACAGTCCTCGCCCTGCGTGTGCGGTCGTGCATGTGCGGTCGTGCGTGTGCGTGTGCGGTGAGAAAACACTTCTCTTGCGGATGGGGCAGTGCAACGTACGTTTGGCCCACAGCTTGACGGCGCGGAGGACGGTCTGGAAGTGGGACACGTTGGGAACCGACCGGAGGATGGCATCACCGTCGCGGCAACCGCTGATCGAACGGAGCACGGCCGGCTCGAACTTGCGCAGCGATCGGTCGTCGATCTGCGATGGCGGGGTGATGGGCACCGAAGACGGATACGGTCCGTAGAGCAGGTCCACCTGAACCAGAAAACAGAATTAATAAAATTGAATACTTATGCTAAACTATTTTGTTTATCATTTATTTATTTTTAAAATAAATTGCCAGCTTGGGCGACGGCAACGTACCTCGACTCCGTTGATCTGCAGCTTGAGCACGGGCACCTTGGCGTCGTGCACCTCCCTCGCGCTCTGGAGCTTCTTGGTCTTCTCCAGCGCCACGCGCAGCTCCATGAAGAACTGAAGGCGGTCACGCAGCACAAAGAGAGGAAAATAGGGACGTATGAGTTCAAGGCCGTGCGAGTGCCACGTTGGAAGGTCATGTAGGACGCACCCGACTGCAGGACATCGTGTCCGGTCCGACGCACAGGGCATCGACATCGCTGTCGGCGGTCTGCACGCCCATCTGGCACGAGCCCAGCAGATGAAGCACCTCGCAGTTGACCTGGCCATTGTAGTTCTTCTCGATGACCTCCTTGCACGCCTACAAATCGTCGACCATCAGCACTAACCACACGACACGCACACCGCACGACACACGACACACGCCAAACAAAAACGGGGCGCACCTGAGAGACGAGTCGGACGGCGGCTTGTCGCTGCTTCCTCTGTTGGTCGAGGTCGTAGGACTTGTTGGCGACCAGGTACCGGTAGAGCGCGCTGTCGGCGGGCGGAGTCGAGGGCGGTTCCAGGTGGTCCGCGGCGGCCGACCCGCTGCCACTACTGCTGCTGCCGGTCCTGCTCTCAGCCTCGGCGGCGCCGGGCTGGTGGCCGACGAAGGTCACCGCATCGTCGCCGCCGCCGAACTTGATGGCGTACTTGATTTGGAAGGGCTCCTCGTCTTTCCTGTTATTTACAGCCAATATGAGGGGCCATGTTTTGAATTCCTGACAAGCCAAGGGGTGATTGGGGTGAGGGGTACCTGCTGATGAGGAAGACGCGGCCCACCTTCCACTCCATCGGCTCCCACTCGCGGCCCCAGCTCTCGATGTGGCTAAGCACCTCCTTCTTGGTGACGAACTGGCCCACGGTCAGGTGGGGCGAGTAGCCGCCGTAGTCCTTGCCGCTCTGCTCGCAGCAGAAGGGGAACTCCTTCTCCAGCTCCGCCTGCAGCCGCTTGAGCGCGTTGTCCTCGGCCTCCGGATCGAGCCACACAGTGAAGTTGCGGCTGTGCTCGAAGAACTTGAATTGCCTGCAGTGTAACAGTGTTAGTTGTGTGTGTGTGTGTGTGTGTGTGTGCGCGCGCGCGCGCGCATGACGCGTACTTGAGGCTGAGAGTGAAGGGCGAGAAAGAGGCCAAGGCGTCCTTGAAGATCTCCGCGGCGTTGGCGAAGTGGTCCTCCTCAATAAAGCCCCACAGCAGTACGATGTGCGGCATCCACCTCGTAAAGCTCTTGTCGTGGTCCTGCACGCGCGTGTCGTGTTGTTTGTGTCGTGTGCCGTGTGAGATCGACAGCACACAGTTACAGAGAAAAATGGACCACACGCGGTCGTACCTTGCGAATGTTCTGCAGGGCGGGCCAGAGCTTGCGGGGAGGCACGACGACCACTGCGGTGCTGTGCATCGTGCGCAGCTGCGGCCGCAGCGCGATGCGCTCCTCGCGCGTGAGTTCGACGTAGACCGGCTCCTCCTCTTCCGCCTCCTCCTCGCCGTCGGCCGTCAGCCGCTTGGCGACCGCGCCCAGCGGCGCGGTGAATTCGATGACTGCCTTGAGGCCGAAGTGGTCCGACGGGAAGAGCAGCTGGCCCTCGCCGGCCGACGACGACTGCAGCGGCTCCGTGCAGATCAAGTCGACGGCCGACGGCCGCCAGCAGCCCGGCGACCGTACGAAGATCCGATCGATGCGGTTCGATCGGCCGGACGAGGTCGTGATCGCGGCCAGCGCGTTACGATGCGGGTCGAACGTGTACCTGTAGCCCCACCAATGCGCGCAAGCCGCCACGTCAGCTAGAGTTATTTATTGATTTATTGATTTAATTATATTAAATATATATTCATAAGTAGGAATGTACCCGAGCTCGTCGGGTCGCACGGCGGGCCAGCAGTCGACAAAGTCCTTGCGCACGGCCCCGTCGTTGTCGTCGTCGCCAAAGTTGAAGTCGCCGAACAGGAAGCAGTCCATTCCATAATCTGGGCCAACCCAATGAAGTGGGTGAGCAATGTGTGTGTCGCCAAGACAAAGGGAAAAAGAAGAGACAAGGTACCGGCGTCGTCGCCAATGGCGGGACAAGTGCGATCGAAGACGACGTTGAGCTGGTGGGCTCGCTTGGTGCTGCAGCTCTCCTGTCGATCGCTTGTGAGGTGCACCACGGGCACGTAGACCGTGCGCTTGTTCAGCTCCAGCTGGGCCACGATCACCCGCTTGTGGGGCGTGTACTGGTGCTGGATCAGCCTGGTCGCAACATGTTTAGAGAGATCAATAACATATTTCAAATTAAAATATATATGTACATCTTGATAGTAATATTTTAAAAAAAAATACATGTAGTGGCCGTACTTTTGGATGGGGAAGCGGGAGAGCAGGACCTGGCCGTAGGGGACGACGGTGTCGCCTCGGTAGTCGGACACGTAGTAGTTCTCCCGCACCCACGGCTCGCTCAGGAGGGACTCCAAAAAGATGAGCGTCACCTCCTCGAGTCCTAGATTGCATTGCACTGTCAGCCACCACCCAACAACCAGCACAACCAGCACAACCACCATAGGGGGAGCGAGTTCGCCTACCGATGAGGTCGGCCTTGGTGTTCTTGAGGTGGTGAAGAATGACCGGAATGCGCTTGGCCGTGTGGATCTTCTCCGACAGGTAGGTGTCGAACAGCACGTTGAGGGTGACGATCGTGACTCGCTCCTGTGTGCGCCCCACACACGACCATCAACACGAATGTGAGTGTGAGGTGTTGATCGTCGCCTTTGTCTTCTTCATCAATCAAGAGGTCTTGATACCACTCCGTCGGTCTTGTTGGCGATGGACTGAGAGGACTCCTGCCAGCTCTGGGTCGTAGCGGACCAGCGATAGACCGGCAGCGGCGTCCACACCGCGGGCTTATTGGCCGTCTGCCACATAAAACCAACCAATCAGTCATTCAGCCACGACCACTTCACAAGCTACACAGGACCTACCCTCACTTTCTCGGGGACAGCGGTGGAGGGCGCCGCGCTGGCTCCCTTCTCCTGCCCGCCCTTCTTGCCCTTCGTCTCGCCGCCCTTCTTGCCCTTGCCCTTGCCCTTGACGTCGTCGGCCTCGGCCGCCGAGGAGTCGCCGCTGCCGAAGATCTTGTCGACGCGGGTGTTGCGGTCCCACATGACCTCGCGCCCCTTCTTGAAGTAGTAGACGCGGTGCCAGGGCACGTCGCCGCCCGGGATGAACTCCAGCAGCGGAATCTCGAGCATGCCCCGGAACCTGTCCAGGTAGCCCATCCGCCACTCCGTCTTGTCCAACGCCTAAAAGAAAATATAAATTAATCAATTTATTATTTGAATTCACAAAAACTGATTTAAATATGGATATTAATTGAACAAATAAATAAAAATGAAATAATAAATACAAGGAAACTAGGGTAGTATGGAGGCCACGGTACCTCGTCCCATTTGACGCGGTGGTAGACGTCGGTGGAGGTGCGCAGGGTCTGTTTCTTTTCGTCTTCTTCAGCCTCTGCTGAATTCTTGCGCTGGCCCTTGGGTTTGCTGGGCGCAGTGGTCGTCTTCTTGTTCGTGCTCTTGTCACTGCGCTCCATGAGTGGTCTTGTGTTCGTCTCTTTTTTATATAAAAATATAATAGCAGCTTTGTGCTTTTTATATTTTACACTCAAATAATATTTGCTGAAGGCGAGCAACCGCAGCCCATACGGTGGTTTTTCTCACATCCGCGATTCTTCCAAACTGAAACATGTTTAGCAAACGTTTTGGAAATCAGCCAAGTTTTGTGTTTGTACAACTTGTCCCGTCAGATCACGAAGTCGAGAAGGAAGCTCACCCCCACCATGATGGCCGTCGTGGCCATGAACCACACCGGACCCGCGACCTGCGATGGCACGATCGTGTCACGGCAAGCGTGCGGTGAGTGGTGTGCCATGGCGCAATCTGAGCTTTCCAGGGAGTGCGTACCCAGAAGGCGAGTGGCGCGGCAAAATAGAAGCATCGCAGGCCGAGGGTGAAGAAGATGGTCGAGCCCTTCAGCATCTTTTTCACCGACCGCACGAGATGACTCTGCCTCAACTCCTCCTTCCTAAATCGCATCCAAGACGCACACGGTCAGCTGAGTCCTCGCCGCTGCGTTGTGCGTCAGGCATCATCGCGTACGTGGGCGCGGCAGGCGGGGCCGCAGGCGTGGGGGCTTCCTCTTCGCTGTGCTCGTCGTGGCTGTCCTCGTGGTCGTGCTCGTCGTCGTGCTGCGCCGGCTTCCTGTGTGACCTGCGCTGTCGTAGCGAGCGGAGCTTGTGCGCGACGCCCTTCTCGGGCCAGCCCTCGGCAGGCCGGGCGACCGAGACGAGGTAGGAGATGTGCGACACGTAGCGGATGTTGAGGGTGAGGAAGAAGAAGCCCAGAAAGAAGGCACTCGCCACCACCAGCAGCTTGATCCTGGATACATCAAGGTGCGAGTCACGTCGAGTTCGGTGGTTGGAGGTGGGTCGTGCAGGGCGGGGCTGCGTACCGGGAGAACTCAGACAGCTCGTAGGAGGTGCCCACAGCAAAGCCAACGCCCTGGAAGCCGATCGTGATAGCCGTGGTGGCCAGAAAGCTGGTCATGTGCGCACCGCGGTCATGTGGTGAGAAGCAGCACGCAAAGTTGGGCTATCTCGACGAGGAGAGTACCTGGAGGTCATGAGGCTGTTACGGAACGTCTGGATGGCGTCGATGGGCGGCCGCTCGGCCGTCACCAGATACCGCTCGGCCCACAGCGATCTGCAGGGTGGCCAATCTAGTTTGATTACTTTACGTCAAGAAGGGGGGCTCACCTGTAGTACAGATTTTTGCCGAGGGCGAAGCGCTTGGGTAGAAGGGAGGAGCCACCAATGAGTAGCACGTGATAGAGCAAGACCAGCACAAAGGAGAACACCATGGCCCCTATCTCCAGACCATCGCATTCCGCATTAATCCAATATTTGTTCACCATTTCTTTTCTCTCCTTTCATGTGCAGCTTAGACTAAGACTCTTCGTGTTCGTGTTGTGCCTGCCTCCCAGCATCCATTGGGGCATTTCCTGGACGGAAGATCGGATCTTCATCAAGATGTGCCCGAGAGGCAAGCGAAGGAAATTTTGCCGACACCTCGTGGTTGAACACCATGAACCTATCTTCACTGTTTACTGTTTACTTGATTGTTGGTTCGACAACTGCTTCTGGATGCCAGCGAGCGTCTCGCTGAAGGCGCCGATGGTGATCAGCTCGTCGGGCACCTCGGTCGCGGTAGACATCGACATTTCGCGCCACTGGTTGAGCTCGGCCTGGATCATGTCCAGCTTGCTCTGGATCAGGCCCACGGCGTCGGGTCCCAGCGGCAGCTTGAACGGCGGCTCCTCGAGCCTGCTCAGCGCCACCATCACGTCGGCCGCTCGTCGCGGGTCGCCGCCCTGGATGAGCTTCGCGGTCTCCGGGTTGCCCAGGAAGGTGCGCACGGCCTCGGCCGGCGAGCCCGCGTAGGCCGGGTGCGGCTCGGTGGTGACCAGCGAGCGGCCGCCCCAGTCCGTTTTGAACCCGCCCGGCTGCACGACGGTGATCCTGATGTTCCACTCGGGCTTCATCTCCCGCGCCACGGCCTCGGAGAAGCCCTCGATGGCGAACTTGCTCAGGTGGTATATGCTGAGGGTCGGCAGGACGGTGAAGCCCCCGACGGAGCTGATCTGCAGCAGGCGGCCGCCCACGGGCGCGCGGTTGACCTCGCGGAACACGCGCACCGCGGCGCGGGTGACCCGGATGACGCCCCACAGGTTGACGTCGAGCAGGGCGCGGATGTCGTCGTCGCTGAGGGACTCGAGCTCGCCGTGGAGGCCGTAGCCGGCGTTGTTGACCACTACGTCGACCCGGCCGAACCGCGCGACGGCCTGCGCGAAGGCGTCGTCGACCTGGGCCTGGTCGCTGACATCGAGCCGCACGGTGAGCAGCTGCGGCTGCTGGTCGCTCTCCTTGGTGGCCAGCTGGGCCAGGCCCTCGAGAGCTCCCACATTGCGGGCGGTGGCGACCAGGCGCTCGCCGCTCTTGAGCACCGCCTCGGCCAGACAACGGCCCAGCCCCGTCGAGCAGCCCGTAACTGTAAATGGCCATTTATCAACGATAAATAAGAAAGATAATGTGCAAAAAAGGTACACAAATAATTAGTCAGCCATGAGGCCATGGCCGCTCCCCTCGTTAGTGTAAAACCTACTGAGCCAAACGCGAGGGGTGGCACTCGGCTGGGGAGCCTGAGCTGTGGTTTCCATCTTCTTAGTATTGTTTGCGGGCTGGCTCCCCTTTTGTAGGCTCGCGCAACCCCACAGAACGGCAGGGCGCCCAGCTTGTGTCGCCACCAAGCTCATAAATGATTGGCCGGGTGGTCGTCGAAAGGCATTATCTGATTGGATTTGTGTCCTCCGAAAGTTGGCGCTGTCCGCTGTGCCGTTGGAATTTCGGAAGTCGACATTTTTACAAAAGCAGCTGATTTCAGTCGAAGTTGCACACATTCCAGAGTGTTTCCGAGAAATAAAAACCTGTCATGCTGACGTGGCCTATATCAATTTATTTTTCCCATTTTTGCAAAAAATGAGAAGAGCTGGGTGAGGATGAAGAGGGCAGGGGAAGCTGTTTCTGCTGCAAAGGCAAAGAGAGTGCGCTGACAAGACCTCTCACCTGTAGCATGGCGTGAGCGGCAAAACTACCTGTGATGAGCTCATTACACAAGTAAACAGGGTGAGCTCAAGCTCACAACTGCTCCACTGTTCAATCAAACAGTGGAGAGGAGAGCAGAAAACATGTACCTTGAGTTTCACAACAGCCTTAGCACCCCACTGTACATACATCAATAAAAAGCAATTAATCAATGAAGCCACCACTCACATTCAATGGTGCATGTGTGCAGGGCAAGCCAAGTTGTTGTTGAGTCAGTGTTGGATCTGCCCATCACTGGGCCAAGATTCCTGCAAAACAAGAACAACGCATACACACTCAGTGTGTGATCACTGGTTGTAGCTGGTGGGGAAGCACCATGTCTCAATGACCCAGGTCAGCAACGTGCTCAATGCCATCTTCTGGCATCTGTTTGCAGTGCAGCTGTGGCAGTTTCTGTCAAAGGACTCAGCAGTGCGGTTCCTTATCAAATTCCACATCTGCCACTGGTATGAGATGAGCAAGAAGATATCTGAGAGCAAGGTATGGTTATTGTCATGCTATCATCACATATAAAGAAGGCAGCACCTTGTCCCTTAACTCCTCCATTGCAGTCTTCTGTTGGAGGGACAGCATCTGGTGGTGACTGTGGATGGCATGACCAAGGGCCATGAGCGTTCATTCCTCACCCTGCAAGTCAATGGCATCTGTGACAATCAGTTGTGGAGGGGAACAGTGGGTGTCTACAAGATGCCCTATGGGAAAACAGCAAGAGAGCAGGCCAAAGCAATCATGGGAGCGTGGGACGACCTTGTTGAGTAGCAGAAGAAGCTGTGCGTGCTGACAACTGAGCTGTTCAAGGTCTGTGGCATCTCCTATGACAACGCCAATGACAATTGGGGAAACTGTGGTGGTGTGCAAGTCCTGCTTGATCAAGAGAGGGAGAGGAGGGCAATGTCAGCAAACCATGAGTTTTGGCCCCTTGTTGAGAAGAGCTGTACTGAGCACACACTCTCCCTCTGTCTGAAGCAATTTGAGAGCCTGGTGAAGCTTGCAGTTGTGAAATGGAAGTGGCTGCACCTGCAGGCGCCAGCGGATGTGAAGCAGTACCACAACCTGTTCACATCATTGATGCAATGAATCTCACAGCGCCTGATCAAAGGGTCGTGGATGAGGCCATGGCGAGGCTTTGTGCGGAGCTTGGGTGCTGAACCAACATGACCTGACCGTGTGACACACATGCGCTTCGTCAGCATTGATCAGATGGCCCACTGGGTGTACTGGTGGTACATGGTCATTGTGCTGGCCTGTGTTCACACTGTTGATAACACTGAACCTGCACAAATGCAGGTATCCATACCTGATTCTCTGGTACACAGTTCTGGGACCAGCACGCCTCACCGACAAAGACAATGCAGACTTCAAGGCCCTTCTCAATCCCGATATCTTCTGCTTGATCAAGATCAGCGCCATTGGAATGGAGGTATGTGAGGAATGAACAGTTGATCAACAGCTGCTGACAGTGGAGTATGTACGTGCAGAGAATCCTCAGGCCATTCATGAGCGCACTGCCGGCAGCTGAGAAGGTGACAGGCTACGTTGGGCGCCTGGAGAAGCTGGTAGAGCTGACCCTCGCACTCTACACAAGCCCAGCCACAATGATCACCTTCTTCTCAAACAATGCCGCACTCCAACCACATCGGCTCACCACCAGCGACCTGACCAAGAAGATCAAGCAGTTAGCTCCTAAATGGGGCACACACGTCGCCTCCATCTCGTCGTCAGACCTGCGGTTTACTCCATTCCTCGCCAACTCGTCTCCCTGGTCAGCACTAGTCCCACCAGATCGTGCCTCACCACCATCATCAGCACGACCCACATCCATCTCCTCCTCGTCCTTCGGCCTCTGCCTCTCGCCCGATGCATCGTACCCTACGCCTGCCCTTCTCAAGGATCCGAAATCACCAACACCATTCACCATCACGAAGAGCACGGGTCCGCGCACCTTGCAGATCGTCATCCCCGAGAACCCTCCCCACAAGACTGCCCATCGATTCCTCCTGTGGATGCAGCTGTACACAGCAGCGATGCTCGTCACATTCGAGAAGCTAGACAGTAAGTATCTCATGGCCGGGGAGTACGCACAAGATCCCTTCGTGTGTGATCTCGTTCTGCCGGTGACGACGCGGCCAATCGAGCGTGTCTTTGGCGAGACCGGAGAGCACCTGAAGGAGAGCAACAACAACATCCATGCTGCCATCCTCTCCACGCGTGTGGCCCGCAACGAGTACCCCAACGATAGCACCATGATGGAGGGCTACATGAACGCCTTCCCAAACGTGCGTTGCCCAAGCTGCTCACCCTGTGCGCACGACCTCCTCAGTAACTGTTCATTGTTGGTCAAGTGCAGATCACGCAGGAGGCACGTACGGAGCTGCAGAGGGCCATGAAGAGAAAGGAGATGGACGCCATCGCCGAGAGCAGGTTCACTGAAGAGGCCCGGCAGGAGCGCGAGAAGGCGGCCAGACGAAGCGCGCTCGAGGCGGAGAACGCGGCGGTGACGGCTGTCATGGCGCAGCACGGCTCTGCACTGGCCCAGCAGTCTGTCACGTGCGGCACCATGAAGGCGTTCCTGCAAGAGAGGAGGAAGAGTGGGTGGGTCATGCTGCAGCCTCCAACGTTGCCTGTGCTCTCCAAGATGAAGCACACGGACCTCATCAACGCCATTCGCATGCTTGCTGCTGCACCGTGCGACACGATCACGCTGCCCACGAGCGTCAGCGAGCCCGATGACGGCGATGACACCCCTCTGTCGACCGCAACATCGCGTGGCGGTGGCGACGACAGGGAGGAGGTGGATGAGGATGGGCGGACGAAGCGGGCGAGGGGGAGCCGTACCAGGACGACGACGACTCAGACATCGACGTGGCCGCATATGACGTGTTCACGGATGCTGCCCTTCTCGAGGTGGCTGCGGAGGAGACGGCAAAGGCTGCTGCGGACGCCGAGAAAGCCACGCTCGCCACCAATGCTGAGCACGGCGCCCTCAGCGCTCCCCTCCTGTCGCCCGCCCCCACATGGACCTCCGTCTCGGTTGCAAGCTTCCTTGCCCAGCACAACGTCGGTGTTGGCCTTGCTTGGGTCCATCGTCCTCCTCCTTGTTGAACGATAAAGGTGTTCTAATAAATGAGATTAAAGATGATGTTTAAATTACATTGTAGAAGAGAGATAGTACTAACGCTGAAAGTCGCGGTCCCACCGCATGACCGTTTGTGTCGATGTAGAACCTAACGACAACGGACGCGAAGGTTACCCTGGTATCCACCAGGTAGGCCTCCACATCGCATCTCACCAGTCGCGTCCCGAAATCCTCGTTCAACGTGTGGTCATGGTCATGGTCGTTTCTGGTCTGTGCTCGAATTCGAGCGGTTGCCGTGGTCGCGAACAAAAACAAATCCAGGATATATGCCGGCACGTGTATTTTCGAGGGAGAACTCTGCCGAGCATCCCCCAATGATAATTCGTTGCGCGAGGCTAATTAGATGTGGAAGGTCTATGGTTCGAATCCAGCGGCGGACAGTTGAGCAAAATTAACCACAATCAAAAAGGAAAGAGGTTGAAAATGGAAAGGAGACCATGTGCAGCCTCAACGGACACCGGCTTCCATTTACGGCATCGTAACTATTGTTTGAAGGTTGAAGGCCTTCGCAGACAGAGGATAGAAAAAGAGTGGTACGCGAGAGCTGCGAGTGAGTGTAGAGAAGGCCTGAACGAGAGGAGAGATGGGATGTACTCTGGGTTCGATGGGCGGGGAGGACTCCAAACAGAAGGAAAAGAACAAAGAGATCAACCGACTTCTCGAACAGCAAAGAAAAACCCTCGACAATGAGATCAAACTACTTCTTCTTGGTACATAGCTCGCCAAGGTTCTTTCTTTCCTTCACCTCCTTACTCTCGTTGATCCATGCGTAGGCGCCGGTGAGTCGGGTAAGTCCACCATCGCCAAGCAGATGCGCATCATCTTCATGAAGGGGTGGAAGGAAGAGGAAAAGTTAAGCTACAAGCCGGTCATCGCCAACAACATCATCACCTCCATGCGAACCCTTTGCCAAGCCTGTGTCGACCTCCAGGTGCTCCCCGCCCCTCACTCTCTGCGTTCCTCTTCTTCCATCTCACACTTGGAACACTCAAGATTGCCTGGGGATCGGATGTCGATGCCGCCGCTAAGCGCATGCTTGGCAACGATGAATTCTTGATCGGAGGGGAGCTCAACGAGCAGGTGGCAAGCGATGTGCGATCCCTTTGGGCCGACGAGGGAATCCAAAAGGCCTTCTCTCGATACGCCGAGTTCCAACTGAACGATTCAGCTAAATAGTACGCCGCCCCACTTTGCCCCACTGCAACCCCAGCATAGGGAGATCACGGCGCCAGAAAACACTAAATAATGACGCTGAGAATGGTCCAGCTATTTCGATCGGTTGGACGACGTCGTGCAGCCAGACTACACACCCGACGAGCAAGACATCTTGCACTCGCGGACAAAGACCACCGGCATCATCGAAACAGAGTTCGACTTGGGAATCACGCACTTCAAGTACGACCTTGCTCTTAGGGCGAGTGTGGTTGTGAGAGAGAGAGAGGGTGTGTGTGTGTTGGGCTCACGAAATGGTGTTGAACGATGCAGAATGGTGGACGTGGGAGGCCAGAGAAGCGAACGCAGGAAGTGGATGCATTGTTTCCAGGACGTGACGGCGGTGATCTTCTGCGTGGCGCTGTCCGAGTACGACCTAAAGCTGTACGAAGACGACAGCACCATGCGAATGGAGGACTCGGTGAAGCTCTTCAAGGAGGTCTGCAACAACAAATGGTTCAAGGGTACGCCCACAAGGTCTTGCAGACAGAGACTTGATTCTCATTCTTATCTTTCTCATTCGTCATGCACTCAGAGACCGCAATGATCATCTTCTTGAACAAGAAGGACATTTTCGAGGAGAAGATTCAAAAGGTGGACTTGAGCGTGTGCTTCTCGGACTATGAGGGTACAAGTTACGCAGCAGTGACTCGCTCAACTTCAGCACTAACAACACAATCATGCGCGCCGCGCCGCAGGAGGAAGGACTACGATAAGGCGGTTCACTACATCAAGGAGAAGTTCAAAGCACAAAACGAGAACGTGCGAAAGGAGCTCTACTTCCACTGCACCTGCGCCACCGACACATGTACGCAGCCAAACTTTGGGCTGAGTGAAAGTTTGCTCTGCGTAGACTCACCGCCAATACCAATGTCGTCTCTGGGAATCAGCAAACATCGAGGTGGTGTTCGACGCGGTGAAGGACATCATCATCATGGGGGTCAACGGCATGGACGGAGGTATTTAAGGCGGTGTATTGCACTGCACGATCGAGGTGCAATGTGACGCGAGAGAAGGACAAGAGCTTTCCTCAAGACGCGTGCTGGAGGTTACGTGGCTGTGCACGTCGTTCTTTTGTAAGATATAACCTCTAGCGGTTGCAAATTCTCTTCACACCGTCGTGTGTTGCATTCAGCTTGGGGAGGGGGCAAGCCGTGGAAAAAGAGAGAGAAAAGGCCCCAGAAATAGCGATAGAACAGGTGGCGGTAATTTCGGGCCGAGAGGGAGAGAGCTTTTGTAGTGGTTTTGCGTTTTGGCAACTCAACGCAAGCACCCAAGATGTACGGCCCGCGTGCTGCAGCTGGCAGCGTACCACTTCTGCTTTGCCTCCTGATTGTTGGCGCCTTCTGCTCCTCTGCCATCGGTACCCCCCCCCCCAATTTCACTCTTTGATTCCATCTTTTGCATTCAGCAATAAATGGGCCTACTCTATGAAATTCATCTCTATTTCATCTCATCGCGCACAAAACATTGTTTTTGGGGCTTGCAGATAAAGAGCAGGAGCGCCTGGAGCGCATCCGAGAGAAGGTGAGTTCCCTCGTGGACCCTCTTCGCGAGGCCGAGGAGGCTCTCGCCGCCCGATTCATCGCACCCGAGTCAGGCTCGGACGAGTACGTACCACCTCGAGAGTACCCGCCTGCATGCCATCTCGCATGTACATGGTGTACTGATGATGATGGTCGCACGCACCACCGCACACGCGCAGTAACAAGAGCCTGTTCTCGTTGATCCCCGGGCGCTACCCCAAGGCGGTCTCGCTGCCCGAGTTCCTGGAGAGCCTGCCCACGCTCCCCGGAGGCCCCGAGGCCCTCCAAATCGTCATCGAACTCATCCAGAGCAAGACCGGTCCGTTCCACCACTGGCCCACCATGCGGGAATGGGAATGCGCTCGTGGCGTTGTGGTGTGCATTCCTGACATTGTTGTGACCGTGCCCCCGCTCGCGACTATGTACAGGTATCAACATTCCCGAGGACACGTTGAAGCTCATCCTGAGCGACAGCTCGCTGCTGCTCAACTACTTCAAGGTGCCGCGGCTTGCGTGCTGGCTTGGTCGCAGCCTCAGGTTCTTTAGCTGACTTTGTCGCTTTTGTACGCAAACCTAGGGCTCGCCGCGTCTGTTGCACCAGCTGTGGGCCGGCCTGAACTACGTCATGCCGCCCAGCAACCAGACCGCCTTCCGGTACGTACTAGCTGTGCCCTCGCTCGCGAGCGGACTGGGGAATGCGATACAGAGAGTTGGAATATAGTTCACTGACGAAAGCGTTTTGTGGACGTTTGTGGTGCGCGCAGTGTGCCGTCGGGCTTCAACTTCCCGGACGAGCTGACCACATTTGCCTTCAACGTCACGCCTTACCTCCCGAGCATCTCGCCCCTCACCCCCAACTCCTCGGTGCGCACCGCACGACACGCACAGCACACATGACCACCCACCCACCCACCCACAACACACACACACACACACACACGACACACACAGCACACATGACCACACACACACACACGACACACACGACACACACACACACACACACACTAATACAACACCGCAACACAACGCAGGTCTGGTTCGGTTTCTTCATGCCCGAGACGACCACGCTCGAGCAGGCCAAGATTAACTTCCTCACCTCCTTCATTCTCAACCAACTGTCCGACAACCACCACCTTAAGCCCACCGACCCCGTACGTCCCTCCCCGTTGTATGTGGTCTCGGAGTCCCTCCATAACCCGGTGCGCTCGTGCAGAACTGGTTCGTTGTCAAGGTCAAGGGCCAGTCCTACTCGCGCATCGACACGTTCTTCAACGCTCTTCTGGCCGACGTACGTTGTCCCGATATTGATCGCACCTTTCTTCTTTGGCGCTTCTGTTGCTGCCACGACCCATCGTGTTTCGTTTTTTCTTCGTTCTTCTTTCTTACCGTCGTGACGACGCCACCTTCCACGTTACAGAACCAAGCCAGCCTGAACACCTACCTCACCAAGCGTATTGCGGCGTTCTATGGCCTCTACATGCAAGACAAGCAGGTATTTATATTTGGCCATTAATTAAGCGAATGGCAATGCAAGTTGTGCAAGACGGCTGATCACTGCAGTGACAACACGACACACTACACGACACACTCACATTGTTTTTCAACGGCAATCCGATCAGGGTAATCTGCTCGAGGTGGCCGACCCCGTGATGATCCAAACCGGCCTCTTCGATCCGACCGGCAAAAACGAAGTCGTGCTTCCTGCCATCCACTCGGTAAGCGCACACGACAAAAAACACACAAACACGCCACAATGACGGCTCACACCACACCACACCACCCATTCTTTTTCCTGTTCGCAGGAGTACGTGATCGAGTTCGGCGCGGGCAACTTCAACTTCAACGTGGTCTGGTACGAGGGCGACGACGGCATCGGCTTCTTCCCCGGTATGCCCACGTGCCCCCCCCCAACAACAAAAGCAGTGAGCTAAACAGCTCGTCTTGTGTGGTGTGTGTGCGATACCGCAACAGGCAACATGTGGTTGCTGGAGAGCTGGGTGGGCACGCTCAACGGACCCAACATCACCGGCAGCCAGGGCGTCAACGCCATTCTCTACATGAGCGCGCTCCGTGACATCCTCATCCAGACGGCCGTCAAGAACGAGCTGTGGGACGACGGCTACGGCGTTTCCGGTAGACATTTCTGAACTCCTGCGCGTATGTCGAGTGTATGACTGAAATGCGAGGAATGTGTGGAATGCCGCAGGCGTGTGCGACGATTCGTGCGGCATCATCGAGATGGTCACCACGGGCAGCTCCACCGAGTACCCCAACCTCATGGACAAGAGTACGCCACTGCCTGCCGTCTTCTTCATTTTCGTTCTTTCTTTCGTTCTTTCGTTCTCTTTCGCTTTTCCCCGCTAACAACCTGCGCACATCGCGACATGGCCGCAGGCTTCGTGGTGCCGGAGATCCTCTATCGCGTGCGACAGAGGGACGACCTGTCCTATCTCTACTACGACCTCCTCAAGATCGTCAACAACATGCCCGTCGACTGGCGAGGCACCAAGGTTCGCTCTCGCAAGCCTTACGACCCTCCCCCCCCCTTCAGTCGGCCCGTCACTCACTCACCAACCAACCCCCTTGGTTTCCAGGACCCGACGGCTCGCTCGAGGGCAGCGGGCACGATCGTGTGGCCCGTGGGCGCCGAGCCCTTCCAGTGCGTGATCGACGCGCGCGCCATTCTCAACGCCTACGACTGGCCCACCGCCCAGTCCGTCTAATCGAGGCCCTTCGTTGGTGCTTCAGATCATTTTTATTATTTATTTACTCTGTTTTCTTGTATTTTTTTGGTTTCCTCTCATCATAACATGGCCGCGTCCTTGTTTCCTTTAGCGTGTGCGGCGTGTGCGGTGGTGTGTGCGGTGAACGATAACGAGGCGGGGGCCAGAGTAGCTTTAGGCCAGCCGATCCTCGAACGTGAGGACCTCGTACGGCGCGACGGTGTGCTCCTCGCCACCGTACGACACCATCATCCCGTCCCTCAGGTGGTTCCCTGCATTCCACACCACACCAGCAACGCAACACACATTCCAAGCATTCCATGAGAACGCTGCGTCGTGGTATGCGTGAGCTGCTGCGGGGACACTCACCGGCCTTGCCGACGTGGACGCCGCCGTGGACCTTGCCGCGGGCGATGCACAGGCCGTGGCCGTCACGCTCCTTGCCGCCGATCCATGCCTTCTCGGGCATCTGCTGTCCCCGCTCCATCTTCACCCAGTGCACCTACACGGTGTGCGTGTTCTGTGAGCCACAGCGCGACACACAACACATCACACGACGTACGCAGGCGAGCTGGCGCGGGTTGCAGCAGAGCACTTCGTAGTCGCTCTTGGTCACCTCCTTGCCGCCCCAGCCGAAGTGGATGGCCCCGAGCGGCTTGGAGGTCTTGCCTGGGTGCTGACCACCCTCATGCTCGGCGCGCGCCACGTAGAGCGCCGTCCCGTCGGCCTCGTAGCCGGCCACCAGCGCGTTGGGGGGAATCTGTCCGTTGGTCACCTTTACCCAGCTCATGTCAACTAAACTTGTAGTTAATAGTGCAGTGTGGTCAAGTTGTGCTTTTGTTGGGTCTGAAAGAGAAGAGGAGTGCGCCTCGGCAAGAGGGCAGCGGATGACGTGTCGGGCTACCAACCACCAACGTTGGAATTTTCCATGGATCGCAGCTCATGTCGGGGGGCCAATCGACAACCAGAAAACGAGCTGAAGTACTATTGGTGGACTTCTTCCTGTTGGGATTGGGTGGCACCAATACTCGAAGAAAATTCGATATCTCAAAGTAGGATATTTCCAGCCTCTAAATTTCGGCTTTCGAGTGAAATGTCCGTGATTCCAAACCACAAATGTTAAATAAAAAGAAACGAAAAAGAAAACACAGGTTGCCTAGTTGCAGGTGACATGTAACCAATCCCGCTTCACCGTTCCAGGTGGTGCAATTCCGGAGTGTGAAGCGTAACCTAGCCATCGCGGGTTGCACTTCGCCGTGCTTCACCTGTTTCCGTACCTTCACTCTTGCATCTTCCGTTCGTAGCCGTCCGAAAAAGATGAAGACGAGAACTTCTTCTCCCGCTCCTCCTCTTCTTCTTTTCGGGCTGGTGCTGGCGGCGATGATGATGATGATGATTTCTCCCTCCTCCCTCCTCATCTCCGCCGAGCAGCAGACTGGCCTTCGCGATGAGCGGGCCATCGCCGCCGCCTGCGTCCCGTGGCGGGGGTCCCCGGCCACCGCCGGCAAGTGCGACCACGTCATGTCCGCCGTCGTGCCCCCCTCCCTCCCTAACAACGTCCTCCTCATGTGCGCCCTCCCTCGCTTTCGTTCTTTCATCTCTTTCGTTCTTTCTTCGCTTTCGTTCTTTCAAGTGTTGTAATCCATCCATCACCTTGTGCCCGTGATCGCGTTGGCGTAAATGGTCTGACTTTCCCTTATATTCCTAATTTGTGTTCTCCTTGTTCTCCACAGTGGCCAGTCGTACGAGGCCACAGACAAGGCTGCCGCCAACAAGGTGAGTGCTGTATTACATTCAAATTAGTTTTTTCTTTTTTATTTGTTTTGATTTTTAATATCTTATACAGATATTATTATCTTTTTTTTCCTCCTCGTGTGATTAATTGGCAACATGGTATCAGACGGTGTTAATGGGCGCGTTCTTCCCGCCCGTGTGTCGGAATCCCCTGCTGGCATTGACGTGCATGGGCAACTTCCTCCACTGCCGCTTCTCCACCGTGCCTCAGTTCGACGGTATACCGGCGGCACACACGACACACACGACACCACGACACGTTTCTCAATCAAACGGTATTGATCCCACGTGTGCGCCAGTCTACCCGCCTTGCCGGTCGGTGTGCGAAGCCGTGGTCCTGGGCTGCACCGCCTTCTTTGAGTCGCAGGGCACCCTCGTACGGAAGACCATTCTCCTTGGGCGCACCGCACGCACTCACCCGACACGGCACTCACGGCACGCGGCACACGACACACGCGGCACACGCGGCAAACAGGGTCAGCTGCCGGACTGCGATCAGATCGACAACAGCACCGGCACGCCCTTGCCGGCCTTCCCTCCGGACGGCACCCAGTGCCTCTCCGTGCCACCCGACCTCTGTACCACCTCCCCTAAGCCATTCATTCATGGCGACCTTACCGACCATCGTGTGTGTCGTGTGTCGTGTGTCGTGTGTGTGTCGTGTGTGTGTCGTGTGGTCGTGTGTGCCGTGTGTGCGCCGTGTGTGCGTCGTGTGTCGACAGTTGTGCCGTACACGCAGGCGGACTGCCCCTATCCGCTAAAGTACAACTACGACGGCGAGTCGTCGTTCGCCGAGAACGGCTACAACGGACAGGACATGTGCGTCATGCCCTGCCCGAACCCGATGTGGAGCGACGCCGAGTGGACCGGCGGCATCACCATCATGATGATCGTCGGCGGCTGCTCGTTCATCCTCGCCGCCTTCATGGTGATCACGCTGTGTCTCATGCCCGCCAAGCGACGCTACCCCGGCTCCCTCTTCATCTACATCGTACCCACTCCACTCTGTGCCCAGTCTTTTTAACTCCGACACGCGTGGTCGTGGCACTGATCGTGTGTCGTGTGTGTCGTGTGTAGATCAGTTGCTCGATGGTGGTGAGCTTCGTGGTGGTGTTCTTCCCGCTCGTTTCGGGCGGACCCACTCGCATGGTCTGCACTCACGTACGTCGGCGCCGCACACACACGCACACACGCGCATGGAAACTCACAATCACTTGATTCAGGGCTCGCCTCCGGTTGAGGTCACGTTCGACAATGCGCGCGAACACGATGGCGGCGGCGTACCGTGCGTGCTTCAAGGTACGCGCCACGCACCATCACCGCACACCATCGGTTCCATCCATTCTCGAATTGCCAATCGCTGTTGCAGGAATGGGCATCCTTTTCTTCGGACTCGCAGCCAATTTCTGGTGGCTCGCGTTGTGCATCAACGTGTTCGAGGTGCGCCCCGCCCACTCCCCTTATTCTCTTCTTCATTCCAACATTCGCTAACTCACCACCGCACACGCACCACCGCACACGCACCACCGCACACGCACCACCGCACACGCACCACCGCACACGCACCACCGCACACGCACCACCGCACATACAGATGATCTTCCTGCGCCGGTCGGTGCAGGGAATTCGTCGGTTCCATTTGTTCTTCCACATCGTGGCGTGGGGCCTTCCGACCCTCGCCGTCATTATCTGTCTTGCCGGCACCGTACGCACGCTTTGCCCGCAATGGTCAGTATAGGCTGGCATCTAAGGAATGTGGTATCGTTGTTGCCTTGGTGACAGACCTTCGGCGCGCTGCCGGCGATTCCCTACTGCTTCGTGGCGGGCAACGAGTGGTGGGCCTGGACCGTCTTCTACTTCCCCAGTACCCTCTCCCACACATCCCAACCTCTTCGTCGTAATTCTGACCCGTCCTGCGTGTGTCGTGCGTGTCGTGCGTGTCGTGTCGTGTGGTGTGTCCGCCTAGTCGGCATCACCCTCATCGTCGGAAGCATTCTGATGGTGGCTGCGGTCGGGCGCATGATCAAGGTACGTCCGCCTTTGTTTGTTTTCTTCGCAGCGAATGCAGCAGTTGTTGATTGAGTGTGTGTCGTGCGTGAGGCTAGATTCGATTCCGCATCCGGCGAGGCACGACGACGGGCCAGACCATCGAGCAGGTGGTCCGGCTACTGCTCTTGATCGTCGCCTACTGGCTCATCCTTACCTACCCCTGGGCCTTCCGTATCTACACGCGCGTCATCGAAGGTTTCCGCTTTCGCTTTTGCTTTCGCTCTTTTTTTGTTCCTTTTTTTACTCCTATTTGTTGCGTGACCGTCCAGATGACATCGCCGATGGCGTTGAAGCGCAGATTCGTTGCAGCGTGGCGACCGGACAGGAGTGGTACCGTTCTCTTTTCATGCTGCCATCAGTCCAATTGCAAATCGACACTGACCGTCGTGTGTCGTGTCGTGTCGTGTCGTGTGTACCTTTTTAGTGGGCTGGACACGCGCATCAACATCGGCTCGTGGTACCTCATGCTCATTGATCTGAGTTGCCACGGCTTCGTGCTGTTCGGCTGCCTCTGCTCGACGGAGACCATCCGGTTCTGGGTGCAAATCCACAAGATCATGTACACCAAGCCCTTCCGAGATGCCATTGCCGAGGTCAAGGTACAGCTACTGCGCCCAACACACACGACACACACGACAATCATCACAGACTCGCGCAAGCGCAAGCACGGAACAAACCACACACACACACACACACGACACACACGACACAAACGACACGCGCTGAGTGAGCTATTCCTCTTCGGCCAAAGGACATGATCTCCGGTTCGGGCGATGACGGATGGAGCAAGAGCACAGTCTCGCGCCAGTCCAAGCGAAGCTCCATGATGGCATCAAGGTACCTACGCCCGTCTTTGTTTCGCTTTTCTGCTTCAACCCCCCCCCCTCTTCGCGTTCGTTCTCTGGGCCGGCACCCTGATCGTGTTGAATCGCCAGGTCGCAGGTCAGCGCAGACACGAGGAGCGCTAGTGTCGAGCAGGACGGTGACGAAGAGGGCCTGTAAACACGAAGCTGTACCAATTCATTACAACAAAAATAAAATAAAATAACAAATTACTTCACGCACCGTAAACTCTTTTTTGATTATTAAAATAGAGGCTATTTAATAATAAAAAAAGATGTGAATAGATCATCTTATTTTCAATCACGGGGGGCGAAGATGAGCACGGCGCCGTCGCTCTGGCTCTTGAGCACGAGCTGCGTGTCGCGCAGCTCCAGTTCGTAGGGACCGGCCGCCTTCGACAGCCGGGCCTGCAGGAAATCCTCAGCCTCCTCCATCCGCCGCTTCAGTGTACCGTTGGCGTCGTCGCCCGACACGCGCCCAAGGCCGCGCTCCGTCCATGCCGCGCCGCCGAAGGTGATCGTCGTCTTGTCGCCGTCGGTGGCCAGGGTGAAGCTGCCGCCACTGCCCGAGTTGATGGGCGACCGCACACTATAACCGCCCCCGGCGGTGAGGCTGAGAGACATACTGTCGGCGGCCCGTTGCGGGAAGGGTCCAGCCACGGGGGCGGGCTCGACCGACACAAAGTAGTACTCGTTGCCCAGGCGCTCGCGCAGTGCTTCGGTTTGGCTCATTGTGTTCTTGTTTTGGTGTACGTGACCTTAGGCAGGAAGAGTGTGCAGGCGGGTTTGGTGAGAACTAACTGCCAGTCATCGCTTTTATTGGTGCACTGACTTTTTCGGGCGCACAAAAGCCACAAAGAAAGTTTTTCACAATTCGGAGTTCGAAACGGAAACATGTTCCTGTGTGGGGCAGAGAGGTGGCACTGGGGGAACGGGGCGAAACCACCTTTCTTCAACAACTTCTTGAAACTTTCGGCCGACATACATTGAAATAGCGCGGCAGACAGCAGCAAGTCACTTGCTACCCTTGCGCCGCAGGGCAAGGAGGAGCGGCGTGTAGTGGCGGCCGCCCGCACCCACCACGTAGTGCTCTACAATCGCACGCCACCTTCCCCGCTCGTTGTCGTCAGCCGTTGCATAAGCCTCATCGATCCACGCTCCCACCTGCTCCGCACTCGCCAATGCGTTGAGCGCGTCGCACACCCTCTGCTCGTCGACGTAGACGTCGTCGTCGTCGTCGGTGTTGCGGTCCGGCTCGCGCAAGACCCGATCACCTTCATCGCTGACGGTGCCGCCAGCGTCGCTCGGCGAAGCGTCGGGCGCGTGGCAACACAGCCAGTCGATCTGGCGCACGAAGAACACCAGCAGCGCCCTCGCCTGGGCCTCGCTCAGTCGCTGTCCCAGGCCGGCGGGGGCCAGGCACCGGAGGACCAGGTTGGGCAAGCCCGCCACGATCACCGCGCGGCTCTGCTCCCAGGGCTCTTGGTCGGGCGTGAAGCAGTGCATGCAGGCCAGCAGGGCGTCGCGCACCAGGGACGCCGGCAGCACGTGCGCGTGGTGCAGGCCTAGCTGGAGCAGCGTCGCGGCCCGGTTGTGGGTGCCGAAGGAGCGGCACAGTGTGAGGAAGTTGTTTACCCACGACAGCTGCAATCCCGTGGCCATGTGTCTTGCCAGTTGCCCTGCGTTTTTTGTCGTGTGTCGTGTGTGTCGTGTGTGTCGTGTGTGGCACAGACGTGTTGTCATGCTGGTGGTCGTTGAGGCAAAAAGTCATCAAAACTAATCAGTAGGCGACGGTGTGGTGCGTACCGGCTGCCCATTCGGCATTGTGAAGCACGGGATCCCCACCTCTATAGTGCCTTCGTTCCGCAAAAAGGGCCGCCAGAGTGGCTTCGATGTGCGGCAGGCTGTCCTTGAGCGGGTCGGGCCCGAGCTTGGCCAGCTCGCCCAGCAAGGCAAACCCTTCCTTTATATGATCATTTGTTGAGCTCGCCCGCACACACACGCCACCGCACTACCGCACACGCACACGCCACCGCACACACGCCCGCGCACCACCGCACACGCTTACGTGCACATGGAAAAGATCATGCGCGGAAGTACCTGAGAAGTCAGGTCGGCGATGGCCACCAGCCGCGCAGGTGAGATGAAGCGCGAGAGGTCGCACCCTTCCTCGAACAGCCGGGAGCACAGGTCCGTGCACGCCCCGGCCAGCTGCCACTGATTTTCAGCCTCTCCCGCCCCGGTCGCCTGGTGGGCGCGAACACGCTCGATCTGGCCGGCGACCCGCTCCACGAACGGCTTGAATCTGTCCTTCACTGTTGCGTTTTTTTTCTTGAGTTCGTGTTGCGTGTTGCGTGTTGCGTGTTGCGTGTTGCGTGTTGCGTGTTGCGTGTTGCGTGTTGCGTGTTGCGTGTTGCGTGTTGCGTGTTGCGTGTTGCGTGTTGCGTGTTGCGTACTGGAGGGAACGAGATTGGCCACAGCAGACAGAGCGATGTCGAGATACTCCACGGTAGACTTGTTCGAAAGATCGAGATCAAGGGTAGCGCGTTCGACAGCGTCGAGAAGAAGTGGCACAAGAAGCTGCTCCAACTCAACGTCAACTGTGGGCGTGCGTGAGTGCGTGCGACAATCGAGGGTCACAACACAAGGCACGGATCATGTCTGGGTACCGATGCTGGTGAACTCGGGGCTTTCAAAGCACGTGCTGATCAGGTCAAGAAGGTGCCCCTGAGAATGAAGAGTTGTTAGCACAGCAAACACACAACACACAACACACAACACACAACACACAACACACAACACACAACACACAACACACAACACACAACACACAACACGGCACTTATTGGCAATGTCAGTGCCAGCACCACACGCACACACGCACACGTGCGACATTTGATCGCGCACCGATGGGTTGCGGCCAAGTGTGATGATGTTTTCCAGCAGGGCGCGGCCTTGCTCGGGCATCTGACGGAACAGGCCCTGCTCCACCAGGTTGGCCAGCGCAGTCATCACAGCAGCGTGCACCTTCGGGTCAGTGCGCATGATCTCGAGCAGAGAGTCGACCACTGCCCGACCGTCGATGTCGCTGCCTCTTCTGGCCTCGTCGGTGTTCAACACGGACCTGGCAAACCGAGAGACTGTCCAGCAGGCAATCTCGCGAAGCTTTGGCTGACGAAGTCAACAGCACATCACGACACACACGACACACACGACACGCACGACACACACCACACACGACAAACACGACACACACGCCACACGACAATAACACTCAGTACAGGTGTTTGTGGGTGGCGACGGTAGTTGGGGGCAAGATTGAGAGTGGGGGATGTGCGCACCTGGGGAACGGCGAGAGACGGGATGGCTGCAGCGTTGAAGTGTCTCAGCAGCTGCTTGATGGAGCTCGGTTCCCACAATTTGTACATGCTCTCAGCGACAATCCCCATCAGAAACACACCGCTCTCCCTGCCGTGTGCGGTGGTGCGTGTGCAGTGTGTGCGGTGATGCGTGTGCGTGCGTGCGTACAAGCGCATGGCAAGTGACTCAGTGACCCAAGTGGTTGCGGAGGGGGGAAGAATAAACTGTACCGGAGCTGCCAAGGGCTGTCTGACCGCACCATGGCCGGAACCACGCGCAGCACTTCAACTGCCAGGTCTTCGAAGCATTGACTGAGGATGTCGAGGAGATTGGCACTTGCCTTGCGCAGCTGCTCACTGATCGGCTCATCGCTGTCGGGGACCTGCATGGTACTAGG